GTACGGGCTCGACCAAACTCCCCAACCAATGTGCAGCGGATGGCGGTTACAGCTCCCCAATGGCAACTTTGTAGCGCCGAATCATCCAAGGCACATCATTGTTGGGCCATGAAGCGATAGGAACCAACTATCAAAATAAATACCCACCCAAATACGACCCCCCCCCGTTGGGATTCCCCAACATTGGGATTCCCCAACAAAGATGTGCGTTGAAGTAAATTAGGCGTAAAACACGATGCCTTGTGTGTACTACGTCACCGCGTATTTCCTAAACGTCTCGTGGGCTTTCGGGGTACGTGGCCTTTCCCGAAATTCAGCGTACGAGGAGCGCATCGAATTGCTTTATGAGCGCTGCCGTGTTATCTTTTTTTAGGGGCCATAATTGATGCTGGCTGGTGATTCTATTTAAGGTGTTCCGCCATTCTGCCACGCATTGGCGTGGTAACGCGTCGCGTTGCAATGGCTTCGACATTTGCGCTCTTGGCTCTGACGGTGGTGGCCGTCTTGGTTCGTTCTGCACACAGCACGAAGAAGGAGCAGGAAGCTACAGCGCATCTGGTGCCACTCGAAGCCAATGCTGACACTCTGGTCTATCTCCAAGTGGTTCGTGATTACTTATTGTTTGTATTGTATTATTTTCACGATAGTGGTGTTGTCCCTTCTTAATACTTTGATGATCAGGGGCCTCACTAGGATCTTAATATTCTGAAAGTGGGCATACTCGGGAGAGTTCTCACCTTGAGAAATCTTGCCTATACCCGAGTATTATTCTATTCAGTGATTATATCTGAGGGTTAGGCTGCGTTCATGCCTTGCGTCAGCGTACGGCAGCGTTTCAAGCGTGCCCGCGGCAGCGACTAAGAAAGTGCAGTTATCGACCTAGCACAACACCACAACACAACACTTGTCCTAATTCCCATTTTTCGAAATACGGCACCATTTCATCGTATTTTTCCCTTTCAATGAACATTTACCAATGACTGGCGCTTATCACATTTTTGACAACACTCGCCATTCGTTGGAAATAGCCTAGCGGTTGGAAGAGTCTCGAGGGTAATAACATCGATATCATGGTGAAATGTCCTCACATCCTAGTACATCATTTGAGCAGCTTTCGGGGCTTTTACTTTTTGTTGACACTACAGTTTAGCGGTCGAATCAAATCCGACTATATCGCCAAGGGATAGAAACATAGGAACATGTTGGCTCACTGAACCTTTGCCCACTGATTCGTTGGCCACGGTGATTTGAGAATAACTCCTAAAAGCCCTTGTCAGACACTATCAGAACTTA